CAAAAGAGGCCAAATTTCCACTTTTGTTTTAAAAAAAATATCATTATTTTTTGGCCTTGTTATTTTTCATTTTTTTTAAGCCCGACCCTAATTTTTAAAATTTTGATCATGTTATGTCCCGGTCCGGCTGGGATTTTTAAAATGTTGTTATTTTAAATAATTTTTGGTTATTAATCCTAAAAAAGAAAAATTTTAAGTGACTGATCCATTTATCTTTCTTTCTATATGATTTTCCAACTAATTAAATTTTTATTAAATTTATCAGGCTTAAAATTTTGATCTCTTACAGGTAGCTGGGAATTAGGTTTATATAGTTTATCGTAAAAAAATTTTCTTGCAAAGATAAATATATGAAATTTATATTTAAAATAATAATTTATAATAAATTTTGGAAACACCGTAGTTTTTCTAAATTAAACCTTCCAATTAGTGTGAATATAAAAATTTCGCAGGATTAAAAAAATTAGGATCTAATTAACATTTATTTTTTTCCTTTTCTTTCGTTTTTTCTATACTTTTCTTTTCTTTTTATTTAATTTTTATTAAATAAATAATTAATAAAAATATTCCTTTTTAAATAAAGCTACGATATTCAGCGGAATAGAACCTTCTAGACCGGAAGTCTGGCTTGGGTTCAATGACATATAATAATACCTAGACTGACGATGTATTCATTAAAAGTGTGCATCTATGAAAAACAGCTGGGGGACGCCATTATGATTACTCATACCATCATTAAAATTTTTAAACGAGAGGTCAATTTATTCCTATGTCTGAAGCAAACTTTTTTATTATTGCCTGGCAAGTTTCAATAGTAGTTTTTAACATGGAATAATTACTATCTGGGTCACCAAAATGGCGGGTCCAGCTGATTTGCATTCAACGAAGCTTTCAAATGCATCATCAGTCTAAGTATTATTATATGTCATTGCTTGTGCCTTAAAAGAAAATGGTATACAATATAGATAATATTTTCGTTAAAAAAAGGTTTTTTTTTCGCTTCTTTTTATATAAAATGATAATTTGTTTCTGATTAAATGATATTTAAAAAAATAATAAAATTGATAATTTGAACTAAGCTTAAAAATAGACAAATTTAAAGACTAGCTCTTTGTTCTTAAAACAATTAATAAAAATTCGAGAGTGCGCATACGCAAGATTCACAATATCAGCCGGGTTACCCTTCATTTAAAGTAAAGCCAATGATTTATGCATACTATTAGATTTTCTGTGCATTGATAAAAAGTGTCCAATAGGAGTCAGCTGAAGCGCCATTTTGTGGTTGGCATTTCGAGCAATTGTCTTATTATAAATATGCATATCAATGTCATTTAATCTACGTGCAAACAACAAAATGGCGCTACTACTTACTCATATGTATGGATACCTATAAATGCATTTAATGAGCGAATCGCCAATCTAGTAGTATATATACATCATTGAGTAAAAGCTATTTTATCGCTTGAGATAAAAAAATAATTAAAGTTATATAATCTTTTTTTTTAATTTTAAGAGGTGATTTAGATCTTATATTCTAAAATTATAAACATTTTTTTATATATATTTATAAACGTTTACAAAATAAATATTTTAATTTCAACGCCAAAGTGTAAGATCCGGTTTAATATACAGAAATAATATTTAAAAAAAGCTTTAAAAAAAATTTCTGCATCCGGTCCAGGTTTATCGATCCGCTCCGAATTTTAAAACCTAAAAAAAAGGTTTTAAAGCATTTTTTTACATTTTTTATAAAAAAAAAAATTTAAAGTTTTAAAATCGCTAAGAAATTTAAAAAAATAATGGCTCCTTGGGGAGTGAAAGAACAATGAGAAAGGATTTAATTTATATTAATTTTATATAAGCTAATTTACGGATGGATCAATAAATTTAAGAGAGAAAGAGATATAAAATCTGGAAGGGAGTAAGAAAGGTGGGGGATGAATCTAAATCTTGCGAAATAATTGCTTAATTAATGAAGCGAACTAAAAAAAGAGAATAAGAAGAGGATTTAGTGTGTCTGCCCCCCCCCCTTTATTTCCTTACCGAGCATATTATAATGAAAGGAATTACAAATTTTTTCTTTCTTTCTTTTTTTTAATTTTCCTTTCCTTTAATTCTCTCCTTTTTCCTTTCCTTTATGAAATTATGTAGGAATCAAAAAATGTTCATTCCAACTAGAAAAGATAATCATATTATTTAAAACCCTAATTCTTAAAGCTTTAAAATCTCTAAACAAGTACCTATCCACCCAATGCCCATATTTTAGAGTTAGGGATTCATCGATATTGTTAAAAATTCTACATTTTTTTTCGTATAGTTATAATACAAAAAATGCAAACTGTGAGAAAAATAAATAAAGAGTTAGTTATATTCATAAATATTTGTGTTTATTTTTTCGTTGTGATATAATTTATTTTTACAAGGTTATAATAACTAAAAAAAAAACTAATAACTTAACCATTTGTAATAAAAATTACAAAAAAAAAATTTAATATATTATAGAAAATAAATAAAATCGGTTTTGTTAATTTCGATTAATATGATTAGTATTTTTTAAATAAAATTGTATAATTTAAATAGAGATTAAAATTTTCTGCCTTTTGTTTCTTTATATTATTATTAAATTGAAGTCTAAATGTTAAATTCGGGGTTATAATATATATAATTTTTTTTTGAGAGAGTCCACTAAAAAGCCAGCTTGGATAAGGGGCCTGAGCTTCTAAAATCAATTTTAAGCAAACAGAGGCGATGGCGAAAAAAAAACTTACATTTTCAAGGTCGGGTCTGGAATATTTTTTTTTTATTTCACGCCAAGTGTGAATGTGTCGCGGTAATTTTTAAGATTAGCGGGTCATGTGATAATAGTTTTAACTCAAGGAATGATCTAAAGGATTTTGGATGACAAATATCTTAAGTATAAAGAAGCCGGATTAAAGATTAGAAAGATATGGGTTAGAATTAATTAAGTTAATTTTTTTTTTTAAATGGTGCTTAATCAAAATTTAATCATTTTAATTTACAACTTGTCAAAAGACGCATAAAAATATACATAAATAATTCCGCTGTTGTCAATGGAAACTTATTTGGAGTTAGATTAATCTGTGATGTACCATTTTTTATCAAATGGGCTAATATCTTAAAGATGGACGCTATCGGCCCTAATCCCGAAAGCCAGAGCCGGACAAATTGTGCCAAATTTTTTTTTACGAATTGGGCCCGAAGTTTTTCAAACATTTTTTTTAAAGCAGGATCGGGTTAAAAAATAATTACAGGTCTGTAATCTTTTCCATTAACTTAGGCAGTTCAAAATGTTTTCTTTTATCCCCCCCCCCTCACTTTATATATAAGTAGTTCTTCTTTACTTTCCTTCTCTCCCGTAAAATTATAAATCAAAACTGACATTACTTACTCGTATAAAAATATTGAAATTGACATTTTATGGGAGGTTCTGATAATTTTGAACGAGAGTTTTGCCATAAAACGAAGTTATTTTTTCGTATGAATATTAATATACGAATAAAATTATTCGGTTTCGAAAATATGAATCAAATCAATGCAAATATTTGAATCAGTTTTATAAAATATATTTTTAAAAAAAACATTCTGATTTTAATCCAGAAAGGATTGAAATTTTTTTCAATTAAAAAAAAAATTACCAAAATATTATATTACAAATGATTAGGATTAAAAGATAAATTTGATTTAAAAAAAATTATAAATAGAAATGTACAAAACCTTAGCATTTGAGATATAAAAAAAAAATATTTTCAGTCATAACAGGTGCCATTCAAGGTATTAATTGGAAACGGAGAGTAAAATAGCTTTTAAAAAATATCCTGAGGCGGGCTTAAAAACTAAATTCGACCCCTATAGGTCTCTCATACATAAATTAATATGTAGTAGCAAATCCATATAGGAACCTTAAGAACCTAATTTTTTTGTGAAAATTAAAACTTTCCACTAAAAAAAACCTAATTTTAACATTTAAAATAAAAAATAATATCGACGGATTCAGTTAAACTAATCACAGTTAAAAAGCAGTATATTGTCGGTTTAGCAAATTCATGGACCCAGTGACGTAGCCAGAATTAATACAGAGGGAGACGGGGAGGGTATGAAATTGGGTTTTCCACCATAACCCACCCTTCCCCTACCCAGTCTAATTTACGCCACTGAACTGATCCAAGAGTTAGCTATTTAAGATTATCATAGTGTAATCTCCTTTATTAAAATTCGAGAAATTCCTTTATAAATGCTTTCCTGAAATTTTTTTTCTTTAAAAATGGATATAGAACATTGCAATAATCACATCCGATGACGTATTAAAACTAGCTACTCCGGGAATTCTAGACAATTTTGTTTTTTTAAACTGTTTTATTTAACTATACTATTAATTTATTATTAAGCTTTTATTTATAGATTTTTCAATTTTTTATTTTTAGGCTGTGTCCAAAATATCAAAAAACTAAATTTACAAACTTTCGATACTTTAATTAAAAATAAATTATAAGCTATTTTAGATATAAAAATAAAAACATGTAAATTTCAAAATTTTTAAAATGGCGTCCTCAGCTGTATTCATTGATGTACACTTTTAATGAATGCATCGTCAGTCTAGGTATTATTATATGTCATTGGATTATAGCAAAATAAAATAATTCACAGGATTATGAGGTATTTATTCTATACATTCTAAAAAACATTCCGAGAAAAGGAAAAATTCTATTGCCCTTAATATTTTTATTGAAGCACTAAAGAGATATATTCAAAACTCACCCATATTTCTCAAATGAAGAGAAATTTTAAAGTTTAAGAAAATATAGAAGAAAACGTTAAATTTGAAAATTATTGGTAAAATTTTCCTTAAGGAATTCAGTAAATTTATAAATGATAGAAAAAAGTCGACGATTTAATTGTAAAATTAAAATATATATTTAAAATAAATATCAATTATCTAAATAAACTTTAACACCTTTAAATATGAATTTTTTTAAAAAAACCTGTCCAAAACGGAATTTCAGAGGAATAAATTTATTCTTTTAAACGTTCAAATCGTAAGAATGGCATTTAATTTATTTTCTCGGCAAAATCTTCTGTATTCTTTTTTGGAATATCACATATTATTTTTAAAATCAAAATAAAATATATATTATAAAAATAATATTTATAAAAAAAAAATTGGCTATACAAAACAGATGATTTAAAAAAATAATAATAAAATATTATATTGTATTATCTTTATTTATTTTTTAAAATATATTTTATCATCATATTTACTATTTTTTTAAAAAATAAAAATATCAATTTATTGGTGATTTTTTAAACATTCAATCAATCAATAAATAAAATGCTTTTGTAATCCAAAAAAAATTTTTTTTACAGGTGATGGGGGATTAATACAAATATAAATCATACGAGATAAATATTTGAGAATTTTTTTTTTGGAAATTAAGAATAGGAAGAAAAGGAAGAAGGAAGGGGGTTTTTTCCCAAAAATATTTTTTACTATTTTGCGTGATCTGCAAATTTCTGACATGTAACCAAGGCGAGTCTAATCTCTTTTTTTTAAAGCTCAAAGAGGTTAGAAAGTTTATATTTAGATGGGGAAAGGTTAGAAGAGTAAAAACTAGAGGTCAGCAATGGGGGGATTTTTAGCCAAAAAGCTCACCCAATCTTTGTTTAAAAAATTATTTTAATGGCTGGTTTGGCTCTTTATTTATTTATTTTAAATATATTTTTAATTAAACATATATTACTATGCAATATTATGATATAAAACTATCATTTTTTAACAAATTGAAATCCGTTTTGCTCATTTCGCCGAGAAATATCGCCCACGCTCGCCCATTACTTTAAAAAAATTTTCTAATTTGCCCGCTACCCGCTTATTGTTGAAAATATTTTAGAAAAAAAGAAAAGAAAGTATATCCTGACCTTTTGTATTCCTTCAATTAGGAATCAGGATGAAAGCCTTCTGCTTGAAATATATCTGGCCAAAAATTTATACAAATTAAATTCATTTTAATTCGCCGTGTTCTTCTTTCAAATAAATATTTGTTTCTTTTATGGACGAAATATCCTATTGAATATAATTCTTTAGTGTTACGGAAATGTAGCCCTAATATTGCATAAACCCATCAAGTCATATTTTTGAAGAAAAGACATGTCGATATTTAAGAACATTTGAGGGAAGTGGGAGGTTATTGAGGCGGGGTAGGGTGGGGGATAAAATAAATAAAATTTTTGTTATTTATATCAAAAAAAATTTTAAATGCTAATAATTATGGATGGATCAATTATTAATATTTGATAAATTATAACGGCTAATACAATGTAATTTATATTTATGCATTGAGACAAAAAATCATTGACTTCGAAAATCATGAGTGGAAACTTCTTATTTACCAATAACCGCAAAATTCTCGATGTTTTCCAATCACTAGTTCATTTATAGTTTGAAAGTCTCTTAAGAATAGTTTGTCCATTATATAGGATACGTTATACGCCATAATGCGTTTGCAAATTTTAAAAATTAGAGGAATATTGTCATATAAATTATTAACAATAACAACAAGATGCTACTTATGATTGAAACAATGTACAAGGCCCCTTTTTATTAATTTTTTTTGGAGCAAAATTTGTATTCCTCCATTTCTACCAGACATGATATTTACGCCATCATACGCCTTGCTTATTATATTATGAATTAATTTTTATATCATTAAGTTGTTTTAAAATACAATTTGCAATGCTTTCAGCAGAACGATATTTTCTAAATCAATTATTTTTTATTAAATTCCTTGAATTTTTCCACAAATAAATATACTATATAATGAAATCAAATTTTCACAACCTGCTGCATCTTTTGTCCAGACTTAAGACAAAAAAAACCAGCATCCCACTTTTGTTATAATTTGATGAGATAAGATTTCAGCATAATTTCTGGCATAATAGATATGACTCTATTTTGAATTTGAATTGATGTCTATTGGGAATGTTTTGGTATTGATTTCGTAATTTTTCCATCATTTGGCTGATGTATAAATTGCAATAAAAATTCATGAAGAATCAATTATATTTTCACCTGTAATAACATTTATTATTGTAGAACTGGACCCACGAAAATGGAGCTTTGTTATGGTGAGAAATCGGATCAAATCAAGAATTGATTTCAAATAATTTCGATTTTATATTACGATTTTTATCAAGCCACATTGAATTTGAATCACCTTTAGAGGTTTCATATTTTCCTAAGAATTTTGTTAACTTGTCATTTAGATTTGATAAATAGACTTGTGGTTAATTAGTTTGCTATATTTCTATCAAAATTTTTATGACAATAATTATCATATGAATTTGAATACTTTAAGTTTTACTTCTGTCCATTTGAATAAAATCTAACTAAAAAGAAGGCTATAAAATGAATTAAATAATATCATTTGAAAAACGCAGACGATAGTTAATTTAAATAGGATAGTTAAATTAAAATTAGCAAAAAATTATAATGATCGCGTTGTAGTTACGCGGACATCTCTATGCCTAATGTAATAATTTTTAAAATGATTATATTTTAAGTTAAATAAATTATGGATATCATTTAATTGAAATTCATAATTTTAAATAATTAATTTCACAGTTTTATACAAATGTCATTAATGTTTACTTAAATGATTTTAAAATAACATATAAAAAATTTTTTTAACCCGCCCGCCCATAGTTTTAGTATTTTTAATCCCCCCCCCCACTTAGATGGTCACGTGTAGGCGGTTGGGATAAACCCGCCAGTTGCAGACCTCTATTAGGTACCACAAAAACAGTGCCGAGAATTAAATCTTAAAAACTAAAAAAAAACAATCACCATTAATATGATTTGGAAAATTAAAATTAGAGAATAATTATATGTAAAAGAAATGATGAAATAAATTTATTCAATATTTTTTAGTTAGTATTTTTAAAAAAGTAACTACTATTTTAGCAGAGTAAACTAAAATGTAGCGGATATTTTTTTTTGGTTTAAATAATAAATTAAAAATTATTATTTACAACATTTTTTTGCAAATTTGGTGATGACATTGTTATTCATTCTAATATTTTTACATCTATGATAATAAATTATTGCTGTCGAAGAAGGTGATTAATTTTACATTTAACCATTAAAAATTATTTATAGTGTGCCATGCCATCTGGTATTGTTAAATGGCTAGATTTGAGCCGATTTTAACGGCCAACTCAATTTTATAGCCATAAAAATATTTCCTAAGTCTCAAGATTTTGATAATAAATGTACAAACCTTTCTTCCATCTATGAGTAAAATATCTAGGATTGCATAATATTGTTCTGGATAAAATAATGAGTTAGCCTTTTTTAAAAATCGCCTCAAATCGAGCCGTTTAACAACACTAGTGCCATCAGCGGCGATACTCTTAAATTGAAAATAAAAATCTTTTACATTCATGGAATTTGACAATTATAGTGGGCACAAATTGACCGTTCCAGCGCTTTGTTTTAAAAGCTAATAATGCATTTTTAGATGATATGCAAATTTGATTTTTTTTAAGGCAAGCGTTAAAAAAAGGCAAACTGGTTTGATTTTTTTTCCATGCTTTTTTTAATTTCGCGCTAAAATTTTAGAAGTTATTAGTTATTTATATTTATATAATTTTAGGATATATTAATTGATATTATTATAATTTTTGAATATTGGGATAAGGTTATTTTACCTTACTGGAAACTCAAGAAATGGTCTGGAACCAAACATCCAGACCATGAGAACTCTATATTAGTATTAGATGGTTTATCAACCATTAAAGATAAATATGTATATAATGATAAATTATATTTTTATTAGCTTGGAGATGGAATCTACTGCATGATATAACTAACTGTACCATGCATAAAGAAGAAGTTGAAAAACTTCAAAGACCAATTAAATAAAATAAAATTGGGCAAAGCTTCTAGAGCTTCTGAAACTCTCATACATATAATATGATTGTATCAAATTCGTGGAGCCAACTATAAAGGATAGAAAAACTACTGATAGTTTTAGTCTTAAAGAAATCATACCAAAGGAGTGGTTTAAAATTAACAGCCCTGTTGGATTGAAAGAATTTTGGCTCTTTTGGAATGGGTGCCTTCTGAGAGCCAGTAAAATATATATTTATCTATAAATTTAACATTATTATAGATTGTATCTTCAATCAATAACAGTTGGTTTGGAAAATATGTGTAATTCAAATAGATATCTTTTTTAAGTGAAGTATTCCATTTGTATCATACTAGGGAGCAAAGAGAGCATCCAAATACCACAGTTGAATTATCACCCACAAATTCAACAGTTACCTGGAAATCAAACCTCATTAGATTCATTTAATGAAATTATATCTTTTTGCAAATCTATTTTTATATATCTTAACGTCAATGTTTTTTTTTCCAGCAATGTGTTATTTTTTTTAAACTTTAAATCATTTTTTGAGCGCGTTTTTGAAAATTTTAAAATCTGATTTTACGGGAATTGTATTCCATCATGATTTCAGACAATATTTCTATGAACTTTTAAACTTAATATAATTTATATTCGATTTTCAAATGACTCAAAGGTTAACTACAAAATTGTCTACAATTCATAAGATAGAATATATTTGAGGAAATATCCGATTTTTAAATTTAAAAAAACACGTTGAAAAAAAGTAAAATTCACGCTAACATGTATAATTAAGTTTTAATCCAAATTATATTGTCCACATTTAAAAAATTTACAACATTAAATTTATTCAATTAAATTTTATCTTAATTCTGATTTGCGTTATTTCTTAATTTATATAAAAGAATATTTTTTTTATAATGAATTAACCTTCATATAGAGCATGCCTAAGTATTATGCCAAATATTTAAAGGGATAAAACTATAAATTGATTAACAAATATTAGTTATAACGTTTTTTATTTATATTCATAAAGAGGTGAGACAAATTGTATACCCTTATTGCCTAAAATATGTATATTATTCTATTATTTGATAAAATTTAGTCCTCTAGTTGGCGTTAAATGCTTTAAAAAAGAATTTTTTTTTTGCATTTTGGTAAAAAAAATATAAAATAATTTCTTATAATTTTTATTAAAAGAAACTTTCATATGCCG